CTGTATTTTGATTATCAATTGTCCGAGGCGTCTAGCCAATTCTCAAAACAGATATTGTCTTCCCTATTTGTTTTTCTTTCCTTTCAAGGTTCTGAGTTCACTTACTCGATCGTGATATATGTACTTTTTTTTTTTTTTTTCTTCCAGAGAAAAATGAGGAAAGGTGGAAACGAAATGTAGAACCAGTGGAATTAGTGGAGTAGAAAGAAAGTAGATTATTTCCGGGCGTTCTCGCGGAGTGTCGTGTATACAGAAGGATCAGCAGAGAGGATCCATGAAATCGGAATCCCCGGTCCGCTTCCGTTCGCCAATGTTTCCCAATTTCCAATAAAATATTTTTGCCGGTCCGGTGGTGTATCTCTCTAGTTGATTCTCTATATAACAGTCCAACTTTTCCAATTTACCGCGAATCGTCAGTATTCGACACATACACACACACACATACACACACTTGTGTATAGAGGAACGTCTCTCAGGCTTCTTCAGTGGAATGCACCTTCGACCAACTCGATTCGACTGTGCCACAGTATAAATCGTTGCGGATATCCTCCGTGAGTTCCTCTTTAGAATTGTCTGGCTATGCGTCGTGATTTTCTCCTCAATATTTTTATTCCCGCCGAACTGGCAGAAACATTTCCTCGAAGGCGCGTGCACGCTCCAGTGATAATCTTTTTTACGCGAATCTACGCTGCGCCACTTTCACCCTTTGAACGCGTGAGATATAATAAAATTTTTATTTCTGCACTTGTGCATTAAACATTGCGAACTGAACAACAACCATCCTGCTCGCCGAGACCCAAGTTTCTCCAGTTTTTCACAATTTTCTGAATTACAGTTGCCACGCGCAGATGGCCATTTTATAGTGTTAAAGTAATAAAGTAGACGGTTTGAATAAAAAAAAAAATTTCCAGTTAAATTCCCCTGATTGTTCTCTAATTATTATGTCGTTATGAGTTTGATTAATGGTATTCTCAAGAAGCTGATTTATTTTACTTTAAAAATTGCTGCAGAATTTGACCATTTCACGATGGATATCACATTACGTTATAATAAGAGAAATTATTATTATCTACGAATCCGTGGAAACGAAGTTTAACCTACAAAAGCAGAATCCGTGGAATTGAAAGAGATAATGCATGAACTTTGACGAAGTTAATGTGTCAAGCGTCACGTTGGTCCCCGGTCAAATAACTTACAAGATTGCGCCAGTCCCATGGCAATTAATGTGTTAATTTTCCACGAAGACAAGAGTTCGTGACACGAACACAGAATTAAAATCGTTGGATTGAAGTTACGTGGAACTTTCTGTTAAGTTAAACCGAGGCTTATGACTGTTGACTCGAAGTTGAGATGCAATTTCGTCTTTAACGAACCAAAATGCAACGACCTGGACCATTAAAAATATTCTTACTGGCATGAAATTGTATAGTTGAAGATCAATTAAGGTTGTTCGTTACGATAAGCTGTTTGGAACATTGAAACATTATTCAAAAAAATTAATGTGACACGTGTTAGTACGTATAAATGACACATATTAGTATATTATGATGTATTATTAATATTATTAAATTAAATATTATACATATTAAATTTTTATATTAAATATTAAATTATACATTATAATATATTATTAAATTAAATAATTCAAATTATTTAAAAACTTGGAGGTTTGAACTAGTCCCATGATTCACGATTTCGACTGAATTACTATCATAATGCAATAAATTATTATCACGACTCAATGAATAATCATTGAAAGAAATGTATTAAATTGTTTTAAGAATTGGAAGCAATAAATAAAATAAACGTGTTTAAATTAACAATGTTAATAATAGTTTCATTTTACCTTTTAAAATAATTGCAATGTTTCAGATGTTTTAAAAATATTTTAAATGTTTTAATCACATATCGTAACAATTTCATTAGCGACGTAAGGTAAATGTTTTGACGAATCTATTTCTTGAAACAGTGATTAAACTTGAAACGATTAATTTAAGAGTCGGTGATACGTGAAAATTGATTGAACCTATAAAACCGGTTAATCGTTCGTCGTAAATTCGCCAGACGAGTTCTCCAAGAAAGCACGGCTACGACTCGTTACCACGAAAAGATATATACACGCGATAGTTGTCGAAAGTTCTCGGCCAGAGTGTAATTTTATTACATCGTTAAGGCGAAAGATGAAAATTAAAGTCCGTAGTACGATTTATGAATCTTACGCAGTTTTCGAAAAGAAAATTCTGTCGTTTTATAATTTCAAACAAGAATTATATAGAAAATCTAAGTTTAACTTGTGTTTATTGTTTGTATTGGTTGTATGACTTTTATATATTACTATAGTTAAAGGAATTTTCAGTGGCCCACGCTTTCAAAGAATTGGAAAGTTACAGAACTTCTCTCGCTAAGTAAAATAATTCAATATAAATAAAAAGTCTAGAGAAAATGAGAGAGAAATTAAAAGTTAAAGAAAGAAGGTTCAAAGGATACAAGTTACATAGAAATAAGCGACCTAAATCAATTAAAATATGTAAAAGTTCAAGCTCAAGATATATAACTTGATATTTAACTTGAGGAATGCAAATGACTAAAAATCGAAAGATGAATAAAGGGAATTTCATAAAAGTCTCAAAATTTAATACATCAAATGAATCATCCTTATGAGCAACGTCTCAAAATTTTATTAAAAAATTCTTATGAACGTCAAAAAAATGCAATTTATCATCGTTCTCCGCGTTGTGTCTAAATAAAATTGAATTATATCTCGCAGGAGACTTATGATTGCAACTTTAACATCGATGGTTGGGCGTCTTTCAGGTTAGAATCTAGAAACTATCGTTGCCGGATACGTTACCGGAAGTTTCGCGAATCCTCAACCATCGAGAGGGGTTGCGCAACGATAGAAACTTTCGAAATCCGTTTCCTCGGCCTGTATTGTTTCGCGGTTGTGCATCGTGCTCCTCTCTGCACAAGACTAAGAACGCGTTTCCGCTGCAGGAACTTCCGCCGATGTCGAACGTGTATCAGAACGAATACGGTTCCTTCGATTCTTATCCGAAACTTCCTTGTTTTGTGGATTCGGTAGTTTGAAGTCGTTGTACGTTGCATTTGAAGAGACGGAGAATATTTTTCGCTTTACTATTGAAGGGTTTAAGTAAAGGATGGTGATCGTAATGATGAATGTAATGTATTTAGGAACGGAAGGAGGAAGGTAATTGAAGGTGATGCGTTTCGTTTCAGGGTCGTTGCCTCGGCTCATCAGTAGCGACCTTTTACCCCAGACGCTATATTAATGATATAAGACACTCGTCTATACATATTATTAATAATATAAGAGACACGTCCGTACATATTATAATAATGTAAGAGACTCGTCCGTACATATTATTAATAATGTAAGAGACTCGTCCGTACATATTATTAATAATGTAAGAGACTCGTCCGTACATATTATTAATAATGTAAGAGACTCGTCCGTACATATTATTAATAATGTAAGAGACTCGTCCGTACATATTATTAATAATGTAAGAGACTCGTCCGTACATATTATTAATAATGTAAGAGACTTCCGTACACATTATTAATAATGTAAGGACTCGTCCGTACATATTATTAATAATGTAAGAGACACTTCCGTACATATTATTAATAATGTAAGAGACACGTCCGTACACATTATTAGTAATGTAAGAGACTCGTCCGTACATGTTATTAATTTTCATTTTCCCGCGCATCGCAGTTCGACGTGAAATTTGCAGAAATGTTCAACTGTTACTTCTTCAAATCGTTTCACCATCCTATAACGAAATTTTCACAATATACGAAAATTCGAAAAGAATTTGTGGCGAGTTCGTCACTTCCTTCCTCAAAATCGCCAGCTTGCACAGCGGCGTTGAAAATTCCGCTGAGAGTGTCGCTGCCTCACGGCGTTCGAAAGTTCAAAGCTCGTCATGGAGGCAGGTTGAAAAGTTTCGCGGCCCCTTCGACTTCAAAGCGGAAACGAGCCTGTAATTTCTACTTTCGCAAGCAATTTTCCGTGGAACGGGTTACCCCACGCCGACGTGGAAAGATGCGATACACTCGATTTACCGAGTTCGTGATTTAGCTCTGTCGTATCGTGTCGGACTTCCTTTATCTCTTTGACCATTCGCCGCCGTTTAAAGCGATTAAAAGATTGTTAATTGATCGACATAGCTTGCTTAGAAATTTTCACGTTCTCTTTGAAGCGAGAAAATTGTCCAGTAAATGTTCTAATTTAGTATGTTATATCAAGGTTCGAAATACAATCGATCACAAAATATCTAGAGTCAAGAGCATAAGTGAATCAATAACGAAAATTTTGAATGATATAACTTTATAAAAAAAGAAGTCATATAACATGTCCTTTTCAAGCGTAAACCCTCTGAATCGACAATCTTCAATTTATTTTCTTCATATCATGTAACTCGAGTGAAAATAAATATATTTTTATTTCAAACATTGTAAAACTTCAAACAGTCTCTAGAAACATTAAAAATTTTCTTCATGGTTAAATCCAACATTATCTTGAAGATAACCCCTTAAAACTTCCTGCGTGATTTTTTTTTTTCTTGAGCCATTAAGCTTGGACGGCAAAGCGTTAAGATTGTTTTACATTTTCGTTATTAAATTTTAATTTGCTTGAAAGAACATAAAACTGCGCTGTGAGAAGATTTTACTTGAAAATTACGATTCTTCCCTCTTTAGAAAATAGGGAATATTGTTATATCTCTTTGGAAATTTCTTGATAATAAATCTACTGTTGCTTTTCAATTAAATAATAACACACGTCATAAGTTTGTTACATTGACAATCAACGCTTTCAAAGCGAAGGCATAAAGTAATTGATTTTTTTTTGCTAACAGTAGAGCAATATCGAGTCATATCTGTGTAATTTTACAGCGTCGTTCGTTTTAACTATATTGTCTCCGAACAAAGGTTCATCGAACACTCATTTAACGACGCGTTTCACGATGTTCCAGGGCTGACGCACAGTCTGAAATGTTACAAATGCGGACAGTATAACGAGGGCGTCGGCAGCATCACGCCGTGCATCAATTACACCGCTCACATGGATCTCAAGGATTGTCCACCCTCGGCCGAATGGTGCATCGTAAGTAAACGTTTCCCCCTATTTCCCAAAGTAGAGTTTAGTTAAACTCATCTGATAAAAGTAAAGAAAGAAAAGAAAATTAATAAATTTATTAATATAATGATAATTAAAGGATTTAACTAACGTAATTGTAAAATTTAATTGGTACAATATAATTTATTTATCTCTCACAACGTAAAACAAACGTGTAACGCAATTGCAAACGTTGAGAATTGAAATCGGAAATAACCTATCGGCTAACCACTATTTGACAAATAACGCGCGATCGCGGTCTGTATAGTTATAGATTAATATCGAGAGCTAATCCCAGGATGTAAACGCACCGTAGTTCCTCCTGCAACAACACGCCCGTACTTCGCGCGAGAGCAATTCGAGAAAAAGTTCGACAAATCCCCGAAAGTGCGCCTAACACGAAAACTCCGTCTCCGACGAGAACGTCGAGCATCGAGGCCTCGAAACGCGCGGAACAAACGTCGATAGGAAACGATAGTTTACGACGATAACGCGGCATCAAAACGTCTCGGTGGGACGCGAACGGAATAAGGAAGAAGATCTGGTGCCTTATTCTTCAAACGTATTCGACAGCGGAAGCTCGTTGAACTGGAAGCGCTGGTATTTGGTATTCAAACGGGTGGGAAAGTGGGGGAGGGGAGGGAGAAAAAAGACAGAGGAACGGTGGTCGAACGAGCGACGTCGCGGCGCCATCGAATCGTTTGACACCCTTCCAAAGTCCGCGTTATTTACCCCTTTTGCTGGATGTCGACATTAGCAAGCAGATTGCATCGTGAACGATGCGTTAGGCAAGCCAGCTCAGCCCAACCTGGCCAACCGGAAGCCACTTCCGGCGGCGCTGGGCAACCGATTGGAATCTGCTGGCGAGCGTGATAATTTTTGTTTTTGTTCGTTCTCGATGATAAATTGGATTCGACTTGGTCTCGACTGTAATAATAATATTTATTTACGATAAACAACGATCGACGAAAGCAGGCCGACACTTGCAGGAATTTTATCGGTTGGTATAAATCATTGACGTTGTGACGAAACTCGGGTTATCGCGATTATCATTGTCGAGTTTGAAGCTAGTCTGAAACTATGTATAAAAGTTACGTAGATACTTATTGGAACATTTTATAAATATATATCATCAGTGATTTGTATAGAATATTTTATTTAATATTGTAAATTATCATGTCGTAAATATTAATTTAATTATTGCGACTCGATTATCAGGGTTATATTGGTCAAATTTGGAAGAAGTGTTGAAGGATATATGCAGGTATAATTATTCACGAAAATTCATATTACTTACAGTAACTATTTACAAATATATTATCTGCGTTGTAGAAATCATTTTGCAATTTCATTAACGAAACGATCATATTGTTTGAAGGAAATTTAAAGATTACCAGAGATCTAGGATGAGTATAGCTGCTCACGAAAATATTCGAGCTTACTTACAAGAATCCTTTATAAATATTTTACGTGTGTTGTATAAATTATTTCGAAATTTCATCAACACCGTAACGAGATTCGATCACAGTCGTGATTATTTAAAATTACGAGACGATGAAATTTGATATGGGTATATATGACAGAATTATATTTTTATTATTTTCGATATTTTATTTAGATTCTACCTTTTGAGATTCATCTTACAGTTCCACGAAAGAACTGTGAAGACACTTTGTACACACAAGTGTATGAATTTTCTAAGAATTCACTTGGAAAATTGAAAAGTGTCCAACGTCCGACCAAATACGGTGCTACACTACTTAGATTCCCTCTGCTCTGTTTGGATTTGAATATCGTCGAAATGAAAAACGAACCACTATTTGTTCGTTCAGTGTAAACGCACCGTAGGGCACGGCAGCCCTGTTCCAGGCCTTTTTCCAAGGGCGAGTAATCTACTTTATTAAATCCTTTGATCCCTTTCACGGCAAGGATAAAGTTAGCCACGATTTCGAGGCGAGGATTTTCAATGGAAAAACTGGGGGAAAGCCGTTGGGTCGACGCTGATAACAGCGCTTGCGGTTCGCCCGGAATGGCATCTGAAATGATAATTGATTCTCGTTGGCCTTCGATCAAAAGAAATCGTCGGAATGTTCGCCGGTTGAGTTCGAGTTGAAGCGTGGATGAATGGAAATGGCGAACAAGTAGTTTGCTTGAATATAGGCGCATACTTGGAGGGAAGTATTGATATCGACGGAGTTGACAAGAAAATAGAAAGTTTCTTCATACAGATGTTCGATTTTGTCAGTTCATTATAATTACATAATAAAATATAAAATATAAAATATAAAATATAAAATATAAAATAATATAATAATACATTTGTAATATAATATTATATTTATAATTACGATTATTATTATTATTATTATTATTATTATTATTATTATTATTATTATTATTATTATTATCATTATTAGTATGAAAATTAGATATTTGATATCGTGAAGATATCCCATAGTGTGCCATATAAGAATGACTCTCAGTTTTGCTCGAGTAAAGCGAAGAAAAAAAATTTTTTTTCACACTTGTTCGAATGCTTTCGCGAGCCACGCGTTGGAACTTTACATTAATTTATGAATTATTATTTTCAACTTGATTCATTTCCGGTGGAAAGAGATCGTTCCTTCAGATCAGAGTCTAAGGCAGACGGTGGAAAGGGATGTGGAGAAACTTTCAATGAACTCGGAAACGAGAGGACTCAAGGGGTTGGCATTGTCTAATGGAAAGTAGAGCAACGCGCGAAGTCTCGAATCGCGATCGTTTAATTGCGGATAATCGTCGTTGTTTCCAACTCCGTGGCTCTGTTTCGTGTTTTTACCGTGGAATGAAATGTCTTCAGACACTGTACAGAGTGCAGCTGGAACTTTTGATTCCGGAGACTTTCTGTTCTTGTTGCTGAAAATCATCTTGGTTTCACCCTTAAACAGCGATGCTTCTAAGGGATCACTTAAACATAATCAAGTTTAATAGTGGGTGACAGTAACACAAATTCAAACAATGATAATAATGGTAGAATTTAAACAACAAATGCGACCAACTTTAGTTACAAAAGATTTAATATTCGATATTACTACTAAATAATAAGTATAATTTGCGATCCACTCAGATTGATATTCCTACTGCAGACTGAATAATTTCTCTTAAATTGAAAATAATAATTAATAATTAATAATATAATTAATAATTATTATAATTATATAATTATAAATTAATAATATAATTAATAATTGATAATTGATAATTAATAATTAATAATTAATAATATCTCCGTACATACTAGATACAAATATATTCATGTTCTATCGTAACAATTCTTGATTTTCCTTTCGTAAATTTGGAGAAATTGAGGGGTTAAATAATTTCAGAAAATCAGGATCTTACAGTTATTGTACTAGCTTTCAAATATATTGAAACAATTTTCAATATTTTAAAAACACGCACACGAAAATGATTAATCTCTAGTTTTTGAAATTACTACAATAATAGAAAACGAAATCAAGCAATTAAAAGATGCGAAACATAATTAAATAATATGAAATCAGAAATTTGTAGTTTACACTGGCTTCGAACTTATTTCTCGTGAAACAATTTTCAATCTTATGGTAATCGAAACAAAAAAAGAAAAAGTATTACAAATCAAGTATACAAAAAATCGCCCACGGGATGACAAGACCCGTGAATTTTCAATGAGTTTTCAGCCGGTTTGCCTGAAACATCGACCGATAACGTGAGAAACGTGTGATCTCGATATCCGGTCTATTTCTCGCCGTTGCGAGCTTTCTATTATTCCACTTCGGTTTACCGAACGAGCTTTCGCCTCTTGCTATACGGCACGACGTGTCCACAGGGAGGCAAGGGAGAAAGATTCAGAGTGAGAGAATAGGGAACGGGGATGGTTTCAATGGAACCAGGCAACCGGACAAGGGGATGGGAAGACACTAGAGAAGGTCCTGATCGTAATGTTGATTAGATCTGGCCGTCGTTAATAAGTCATTTTATTAATACAATCCCCCGTAAAGTTATCCCATCAATTTTTATTTTTTATTTACTTTTTTATTTTTTAAGGGAAACCTCGAATAAGATAATCGAAGACATCAGGGAAAAGCGAAATTATAGGAAAATATTAGAATATCCGAATAATGCGAAACTTCCAGATATTAGATATTAATTTAAAAGAATTTTAATTTTCCAGTTAGACAGATTTTCGGTCTTCCAAATCCTCGGTCTCTCAATACGAAGCCAAAAATTCCAAATGAACACCTAATTCTTAAAATTATCCTTGATCTATTATATCAAGTCACTTCCTTTTGAATTTCAAAAGAGGAAAAAAAAGAAGAAATTCGAAACTTTCCGAATTATTAAAATCAATCAAGTTTCCAATGAATTCGAAATTTTGAAAAAAATCTCCAAATCTAAAAATTCCAACAAAACGGTAGTTCGTTTCAATCACCACCAGATCTCTTTATTCCGACTATCCATTACGCCGAAAGAACAATAGGAAACTCCGTGTCGGAAATTCCTATTCGTCTCTGTCTCTCGCCGGCCTCAACACATTTAATCGATATATAATCGAATCGCGTAATCTGTTTATCGTGCACGTGCCACGGCGTATCCTTGCGAGGGATCCTCGAAGGAAGGACGATCTCGTCATGAATTAACGGGTTATCCGGCGCCCTGTATCCGCTTCTGGCGCGTGTCTCTACGACTCTACGGCCAATTCCCCGATCGCATTGGCCCTTCCGGCTGGATCAGCGGCGCCAACCCCCGTGACTGAATTATCATACCTTCGGCTGCATCGTAGCAGCCTGCTAATGGACCACCGTCGGGTTATTCTGACGTGGCCTTCAAATTACTGCCATTCGCCGATGCGCGTTTCGACCAGGTATTAATTAACATCTCGCGACAGCAATAGGAGAACTGTCTGCCCTGTGAACGGGGTTCAGCCCGATCTCCCCGTAGGATTGTCAGACGGTGTAGTTGTTGTGGTG